CAGCAGCAGCAGCTTCAAAAATCTATTTCTTTTATTGTAGAGCAATTCTCAGCAGATGCTACAGTACTACATCCACTGTAGCTGGAAAAAGAGTTTTGGAAACTGAGTACCAGCCTTGATACACTATTACATGCTCTTGGATTGTAGTGCATCATACTGTACCCTGGTTTTTAAACCATGGTTTAATGTATAAATCATAACTGTTTTTTGCACACCAGGCTAAGTCATAAGCTAAAGCCCAACCAAACAGATTATGGCTTGGGGCAGCGTATGAATCCAGCCATTGAAAAAAAAGGTGGAGCGAAAGACGACACTAAAAAAAATCTAATCCTGTACCTCTACCCAGCACTCTGTACTTTTAAAAGAGCTTGATTTAATTTCTCATGCTCGAGGCGGGGAAAAAATGCAGTCATTATTATAGTGGAAGGTACTGTACGATGTGTTATGAGCACAAAAGGAGATAATCATTATCCTAGCCATGCTCAGAGGATTTTGTAACAAAGCCTTATTTAAATGGTAGTTTTGAAAACAAATGACCCACAGCCAAACAATACAGGATCCCAACAACTCTTTTGGCTCACCTTTGCATGAATCAAATTGTAGATTGCATCAGAAATCATCTCCTTTGTAAAGGTACCAAGGATATCCTTTAGGAACACTGTGCATTCTATAAACAGAAAAATACAGGACTGATGTTTCAATGTTCATATATGCACAGCTTCCATCCATCGCTCCTTTTCATGCAATCTTTGTTTCCTTGAGCATGGCTTCTTCCAAGATTATTTCCACACCAGTCACAACCAGGAAGACTTTCACACAGATACCTCACTAGTAACGTAGCATTTCCCTATCACATAAGCTTTCAAATTCTGCAAGTCATACTATCTGACACATAATTAACTCTGTGTCCAATAAAATGTACCTGATTGCTACATTTATTTAAAGCATTTTTTATCCTGTTCTTCAGGCAAAGAGCAGTTTACGTAAAGCCAATAACAAGGACGTTGCTATCTACAAGCTTCCAATGTAAAGATGCAAAAATAGACTTGAAAGGAAAAGGTAATGGTGCAGGAAAGGAGAACCGGCAAACACTGAGACATATTCTTAAAGTTAATATTTCCACTTACGCCTTTCAGCTGGATGTAAAGAGTTGTGGCCCCATAAAAGCCCCATAAAAGTTAACTTTTAGCAGCGAGCAACATCTTATGAAACTTAGTGCCCGTCAGCCCAGCAAAGTAGCCCAGACAAGAAGCATACCCAGAAGTACCAGCTCTATCTTTATTGTAAAGTTACATTAACAGAATCTTGCAAGCCTGAAAGTGCATCTCTCCCCCCTCGCCTTTACAGTCCAAGAAACTAGGGAGGGTCCTTTCTGAGACATTTGCCTTCCCCTCATTCCTTCTGAGGGCTCAGCTGCCTCTTATCTGGCCATCGCCTAGTCTGCGGCTCTTCCTCCTTCTCCCAAGGCCATTCCCACATACCATCACAGTGCCTTTCCCCACTTCCATGTAACATGGCAAAAAGTCTGCCATGACGTTGCTTCCATCTTGTCCATAAGTAAGAGAGCTGAAGTTGTCCTTCATTGTACCAAGGTTGAAGTAGTGTTTCCCCCCTTATTTCCAACCCCATCCAAGGAGAGCTTTGGGGTTTATACATTTTGTAGGACATGTCTTCTATTCTCTTGCAGGGAAGCCAGATGGGTACCAGAAGCAATAGAGACCGGAGAGAGATAAACCTTAGGGAGAACCAGTTCGATCTGGTGTAGTCTTCTGTTGACTCAAGGATGGGTGAAGAGCCATTAACACCCCACCCACAAGACAAGGGCAAAGCAAAAAAGCATCTCAGATAAGTGCTGGAGTTTGTACAGATTTCCTTCTGTTCAAGAACTAGGCTTAAGAAGTCTTGTACACTGCCCAGCATCTGTTGGAGTAGATGGCCATAAGAGATTCATTTAATACGCAGAAAGGGTGGGCAATGAATTAGAAAAGACTCGTGGCAGATTGATTTGGTATATGGTAACTGCAGCAAGATTATTGTATGCTCAGCAATGGAAGAACATGAAATACCCACAATGGAGGAATAGATTGTGAAAATGTCAGAGTTTGCTGAAATGGCAAAGCTGACCTGTGGGGTCAGAGAAAAAAAACAACAAAAACTTTTCTGAAAGACTGGAAACCTTATATGGACTTTTTGCTGAAAGAAGAAAAAAGTATTATGGGTTTGAAGATTAAAAAATTATGGTTTAAGTGAGGGGCTGAAGGGATTTGCATAACATCTAAGAGGGAGACAGGATGATGAGATTGTAATTATCTGTTGAACAGAAGGTCGGAAGTCATTATATTTCATTTCTTTAGTTTCTTTCTTCTCTTCTTCTCTTGTATCTTTTTCTTCCTTTTTTCTTCCTTTAGATTTGTCTTTTACTTTATGTAAAATACTCAGTAAGTATAAATTAAAAAAAAAACTAGCAAAAACTAGCATGAGGAAAGGCCTTGTAATGCCTTGTGATGATGGCAATATTGAAACACGAACTCATATTCTGTCATACTGATTCCTATCAAGATATACGCAAAGACCTTAACGCCTCTTCTGATTCAATTTCTGGGACAGACTGAAGAATTCTATATGCAACTCTTGCTAGCAGATAAGGACCTCAAGGTAACTCATGCTATTGCAAAGTTGGTTTTTGCAGCTTGTAAAACTCATATCTGGCTGACAGCAAAATAGCGTAAATACGATTGTAGGTCTTTTATCGTCTATGCTTTTTTACTCCATGTGTTCTGTCTTTAAGTTCTAAGCTATAGGTTTTATCTAATCAGTTTTATTTAGTCTGGATTGTTATTGTAATAATTTGATTTGATTTGAACATATTCAACTAACTAAATAACTAAACTCAAGAGAATAGCAATCAATAGTAATAATAAAGGTAGAAGCAGAACAAAAACTAAAATGTGGATATGCTCCAGAGAAGATGGTTGCAGGGCCACACTCTTGCAAAGAAGTCAGTCAGAATCGTACTCTTCATGTAGAATGTGGCAGAGATTTTAGTAGGAGGGTCTGCCAATATGCCAGGATTTGGTTCTCTGGAGGCCAATCTGCTCCCCATTCACTTAGAGGTGGTGCTGATTTCTTTATTAAGCTCCCCAAATCCCTTATTATGGCATCCACCCTTGTGGTACGTTCTTTTCCTTTTCCTTTTCCTTTTCCTGTTTCTTACTTTTAAAATGTAAGCTGTCTAGAGTCATCTGGAGTTGGGTTATTAAATCAATAAATTAAATTAAATTAGCCCACTGGATCAGGTAGTTTTCATTATCTGCTAAGGTTTGGGCATGATTTTCGGTGCTGTATTCTCTCTTAATTGAATTACTATTCTTAAAATAAGGTACTCAATTTATAAAATGACATTAACTCCATCCCTGTGTTTCCTGCCAACCAACCACTCTGGCAGTCTTGACACATCCTGTGCAGACTTATACAGATTCTTCTCCTTCCTTCTAGGGGAAGGGGAAGAGGGAGGAAGAGGAGGAGGAAGAGAGGAAGGGGAAGGAAGAAGGGGAAGAAAGAGGAAGGAGGAGGAGGAGGAAGAGGAAGAGGAGAAAGAAGAAGAGGGGAAGTGAAAGAAAAATGAGGAGGAAGAGGAAGGAGGAAGGGGAAGAAAGAGGAAGGAGGAAGAAGAGGAGGAGTAAGAGGGGAAAGGGAAGGAGGAAGAGGAGGAGGAAGAGGAGAAGGAGAAGAAAGGTAGAAAAAGCATATAAAGAGCTGTGCTGGAATAAAAGGGGAGGGGAGGGGAGGGATGCGAGAGGGGAGATCCTGCTCAAATGTTGAGTCATTTGCTCCTGACATCTACACAGATGCACACATCTTACACATAACTATTTTTTTTAGGAGCAGGGAGTCCCCATTTCTAATCAGGCAAAGAAATGACTCTTTTGCAGAGTCAGAGGAGCAGAAGTGAAATATCACCTGCAGCGCTCGGTCTAAAGTTGGGTTCTTGGTGCCAGCATAAAAGGATGAGTTGAACCAGCTTGTTCCGATGCGGCAAGCCATTTGGAATGAAGGCTGGTTCAATCCCTGGGCGCAAGCCGCTGCAGACTCCGGCCACAGCTTCAAGCAAAGTCTTTTTTCCTACAGTAAGAAAAAAAAAATCTGTACAGAAGCTGCAGGAACACTGCTGTTAACAGCCTGTACATTTATACTGGAGCACTGAAATTTAAACGGCATGAGTGAAAGTGAACAAAAAAAACCCCCCACACACACAAGGGGGCAGCATTAAACCAAAAATCACCGAGCATTTTCTTTTCTGATTTTTTAAACAGTTCTCCACAGAACTTATTCGTAAATGCAGCATACAAAGATGCAAACACAGACAATACTTTCGCGGTTTCCATATTATTAATCTGGTTGACTTCTGGTAGGCACACACAGACACACACACACACGCACACAAAAGATATGGGGCAGGAACAAGTGAAGCAATTTAGGAGTCATCCCATTCTCAGATGATTGCAAAGCAAATGCGTTGCCAAAAAGTGTTATAAGGAATATTTTTCCCCAGCTCCAAATTAGGGAAGAGGAGAAGGTAAATCCTGCAGCTCCCACAGGCCTCTCCCATGCATTCCTAGGTTGAGTTTAGGATGAGCTGGAAAATGTATGTGAAGGTACAGATACTGGAGCACATAAGAGGGAAATACAGGTAGTCCTCGCTTTATGACCATTTGTTCAGCAGTCATTTGAAGTTAGGACAGCGCTGAGCAAGGGGAACTTATGACTGGTCCTCAAAGTTCTGGCCATCCCAGCACCCCGACAATCATGCAATTGCAGTCTGGGTTGCAGTGTCCTGCGGTCATGTGATCAC